CCAAAACCCAACAGGGCAAACATTAAATCTTGAGGCTTGAGAATAATTCCACATCCCATCTTCTGGATACACTGGGATGGGAGCTGGGCCTCCAAGCCTCCGAGCAACCCCACACTCATCTTTGCTGGCTGCAGTTCTCACATATTAAAGTCACATGCCTTTGACTCTCCCAGGCTGAAGTTGCACACTGGAGGCTCTACTGGTCAGGGGTCTCCAGGGTGGCCGTGCCTGCACAACTCCACTAGGCATTGCCCTGGTGGGGACTTCTGAAGTGGCCTCACTCCATGGCTCCAGATATTATGTAGATACCTTGTTCATTATTAAAAGAAAGAAATTAACATTTGCAAAGTGTATTATGAGACAGATATATTACATATGCCATCTCCTTCAATCCTTCAGGTAGATTTTATTTTCATTTCAAAGAGAATGAAACGAAAGGCTCAAAAAGGCAAGTAAATTAATCAGGACCAAACACAAGATTGTAAAATAAAAATAATATGTCATAGTTTGCCATTTGGCATGCTGAGACACTGGTAGCAGCACTGGTCAACTAATATTAGATAATTAGATTGGTAATCTGATCTGTCATATTGCAAATATCCTAGATAAGTTTTGGTATTGGAAGGTAGAGGTGTGCAGGACTTATAACCTAGTAGACAAAGAATGGTTGAAAAAAGAGCTGTGTAAGCCAGATCTCTGAGTTGCTAATCTATTTGATCTCATGCATTTTTTAAAAAATTTGAAGTCGATGTTAGCTTACCAAGATTTCAAGATGGATTTTAATTAGATTGTGTCTAAATTAATTATTTTGTGTCTCAAGTGCTATGTGTTTGGATAATTAATATTTCATTATCTTCCTTCATGAAGTGTGGAGCTTCCTATTGAGAACATTTGTGATAGCCAAGCAAATCCTTCAATAATGCTTTCATTCTCTTTGTTAATCTTGGAACAGTTTGAAAGATTTTTAAATTGAAACTGTTTCTTTTTTTTTTAATCCATTCAACATTTGTTAAATTCCTTAATAAGTTATGAAGGAAAGCATTGATATTTTTCAGAATATTGAGATTAGTTGTTGATGAGAATAATGTTTGACCTATTTAGAATATTATAGATAACTTAAAGACACTTGAATTTTTTTAACCTATGTAGGAAATAAGCACCTTGGAAAATATGAAAAATGAGAATGTTCAGTGTCAGCAAATGGAAAAAAATTCAACTTATGAAACTTTATTTTCATATTTATAGAACTCATGAAAATTTGAACAGCTGTATGTCCAAAATTATAGGAAATATGCTGCCTTAGTTTTGAAGAGGAAGTATTGAACTTTTGCCTGGATAAAAGAGCAATTCTAGAAATAAACCTTTTGCTTTATTTATGATGGTCAAGTGTATGTATGGACAACCATTTTTAATAAATTTAAGATGTGTACTATATTTGATCACCATTGTCTTACATTTTGCTTTTGAACACTAAGAAAGAATACAAAGTACCTTATGGCACAGGTATCTAAGTACCTGTTTACCTCTTTAGATACTGGTAGACCACTTGTTTTGCTAGTCTTTGGAATTGGAAAGAGTGTCAAATACACAGAAGTCAGAGTCATCTTGGCCAGATGGTGTTTGATACAGATGGATGGTTAGTTGTCATGCAGATCTCCTAGTTGGTAACTTGTTGCTGCCATCTGACTCAAAGAATCATTCACACACACTGGCTGTCAAAAGCATCTTCTCTTCTGTCTGTTTTAGCTGTCATGTCTGTGCTCTATACAGAAGTGTTGACAAGACATTGCTGTTGTACATTTTCAATGTGGTTGTTAGTGATTTTTCTGTTTTGTGGGGTCTTTGATAGTACTGGAATGCACTTGCTTTGTAATTATATTGTTTTAGAAGAAACTGCTCTAACTGTTCAACAATTACCTGACCATTTAAAAGGACTTTTCAGATTATAAATTTAGTCTGATATGTCCGGTGAACAAAAAGCATTTAATAAAAAAACTTGATTCATTTAGTTTCCAAACATAGCAAATAAACTGAATTCTACTGGTTATTCACTAATTTGATATCACTTTCCCTCTCATAGCCTGTGGTCAAATGCTTTATGCTCTTTTCTCAATATATATTTTCTTAGATTGCCGCCTTTTTTTCTAATGGTATAAACTTCCTTTTTGTTTCCCAAAATACATTGGGAAACATTTCCTATCTTCAAACATTTCCTATCTTTTGTATCCATTTTCTCAAACTTAATTTCTTTGTCTTATTCACCTACTGACCTTGTTTCTATTTTTTCTATAGAAATATAAACAAAGCCATTTTCTCTCCTTCATGTCACTTCTGAAGGTGTATCTGTTTCTCTGATATTTCTTTAATCACCTAATTAATTTGTTTTTTCACCTATATTTACTGAACATCTCATTGAGTGCCAGGCACCCTATGATACTATGGAGGATATCAGTAGGAAATAGTCTCTGCCCTTGAGGAACTCAGTCTAGGGGAAATCAGACATTAGACAATTAGACTAGAATGCTATAACTGCTATAATGTAAGTATGTGGAAAGTGCAGGAGGAGAACAGGGACCATTACTATTCTCTTTCCCCAGCTATACTTATAAAATATTAGTTTTTTAAAAGTGTTACAGAATTTGCTTGAGCTTTACAATAATTTATTAAATAGTTTAATGGTTCAAAACGTCAACTTGATATAGCCATAAATCTACTAATTTTTCCCAGCTATTGAATACATTTTCAGCATTATATGTTATATATGCAGATGTGCTAGAGTATGTTTTGAAGCCAGAGACTAGAAGATGAAAATTAACTGGCAGAAACTTTCTGAGTTGATTCCAAAAGAAAATATATGATCATTTGGTTTCCTCATTAAGATGGGAAAGATACCATAGTAGATGAAGAATGGGCTAAGACTTGAATAACTTAAACATTTATTCTGGGCCTATCTCTAACTTGCTAAGTTTTTTGTACTGGTTACTTAATCCCTAGACAATCAAATATATATGCCAATCAGAATATGGTGAAAGAATAGGTACTTATTGAGTGATGCTTATGAAGAACTTTTGAGTTCTTTAGAGAAAGTTCTCATTACACAGAAGTATATAGAGAAGACTATAGTGATTCTTCAGCCCGGGTGACTCTGTGTAGGCCAGGTAAATCTAAGATATTAAGTAAAAATTTGCTATAGATGTTTGGAGCCTTCTTTCAGTCAACTTACCCACTCCTTCTAGGGGGTTGGGTGTGAATTTATATAGAAATAAGATGTCTTGGCCCTGGAAGCCTGGCCCTGGACCAGACTTGGGTATCTAATAATCAGTTCTGAGACTCATATTCATTAGACATATGGTCCAGACAGACTCACAGGATTGATTCTTCTGTTCATAATAATAAAATGTACTTGGAATCTTTATTTACTTTATTTTTTTTTCAATAAGTATATACAGAACACCGCAGTTACTTTGCAGAGTTCTAAGACTACCCTCAGGCAACATGCAAAAACAACATACCACTTGGGTTACTTATTAGCTCTATTAGTTAGTCATGTTTAAAGTGTATTACTTTGAACAGCTCTCCTTTTATTTGGGAAAATATGGTATTTTGCTTTAATTTTTTAAGCTGATTTATATTTGAGAATCTAGGAACAGCTGTGTAATTTATAAAAAAATCTTTAGGCTCATTGGTATCTGAAAATAAAAGCTTCACTAATTTTGAACTTTAATTAAGAGTCAATTTAGGCTGGGCCTGGTGGCTCACGCCTGTAATCCTAGCACTCTGGGAGGCCGAGGCGGGCGGATTGCTCAAGGTCAGGATTTCGAAACCAGACTGAGCAAGAGAGAGACCCCATCTCTACTATAAATAGAAAAATATTAATTGGCCAACCAATATATATAGAAAAAAATTACCTGGGCATGGTGGCGCATGCCTGTAGTCCCAGCTACTCGGGAGGCTGAGAAAGCAGGATTGCTTGAGCCCAGGAGTTTGAGGTTGCAGTGAGCTAGGCTGACGCCACAGCACTCACTCTAGCCTGGGCAACAAAGTGAGACTCTGTCTCAAAAAAAAAAAAAAAAAAAAGAGAGAGAAGAGTCAATTTAAAATAAAATAATATCTTCTAAAGGACATTCTGAGATTATTAGGACTACATTTCATATTTCAAAGAATTTACAATTTAGACATTTGTTTATTTGTTCCTATAGGGATAGAAATTGACAAAGAATTCTCTATTATTTGGTGAGGACATGTTTTTAAGACTACTAATTTGGTCATTGTGACACACATTTTCAAATTTTCTTAAAGGTTTGCAGCATCCGTATTCCCCAATACAAACTTGTGTCTTTTTCATTGCTTAATCCTCACAGCCATTGTAATCAGATAGCAAAATGAATGGATTAAAAATATAAGGGAAATTACAGTATTTAAGATAGACACTGAAGATTAACCATGGTGCTCTCTTGACTTCTTAAAAGTTAGAAGTTTCTGGTCAGTATAATTTTATAATTTGTATTATTTGTCCCTTTGGTTTTCATAGTGTCTTAGTTATAGCTACTTATTTTGTGTTTTTGTACTTTAAAATAAATTCGGAAGTATGTTTTTCTGAAAGACATGAAATCTTAATTTTTAGGGTGTTTTTTTACAGGATAATATAGCTTCCGTTTTATCATTCATGTTCTTTTCTTTGTTATCATTAAGGACTAAATTCTAAATTAAAATTTTTATCCTAACTGAAGGACCAAGAAACCCATTGAACCCTTGACTGAAATTTCTTTAAATAATGTGATTTTTTTAAAAATTTACAATATTTTAAGTGTTATAAGTCACTGATGTTTGTAATGATTACAGTATATTCCTGGAGCCAGTTCATGTCTCATAAATAAATTCTCAATACCTGGGAAATGACAAAATGGGCTACTCATATCTATTTATAATTATTAATGGACAGTAAATGTATGTTCATGTCTGTCAATGACTATCAAGCTAACTGGTTTTTATGTCAGCAGACTGAGAACTATGAGCAGAGAATACGTGAGCAACAGGAACAGCTGTCACTTCAACAAACAATTATTGACAAGCTAAAATCACAGTTACTTCTTGTGAATTCTAGTCGAGGTATGTTCATGTTAATTTTATGTATTTCTTGAAATGAGGTACATTTCTGAACCTCTCAGAGTTTTTCTATTTTATTCCTCTGTTATTTCTCAGTAGTTCAGATATAATAACTGGTATAATAACTGGTATGTTTATTTAAATGAACACTTGCAGGATATGGGAAAATGGACTCCTATATATATATTATATAGTGGAACTCTAATTTGATAAAACTTCCTAAAAGGCAATTTGCCAATAAATAGCAAAAGCTTTTTAAAATATGTCTTTTGAACCAAAAATTCAAGTCCTAAGAAAATGTTGTTCAGGTACTCAAAGATATATATGGAAGGATGTCCATCACAGTATAATTTCTAATAATAAAAAACTAGAAACAAAGAAATGTCTAATAGTTAAGTTACAGTGATCCATATGAATAACCATGTACCCAAGAAAAGTGATGGTAACAGGTATTAACTTACTAACAAGATATGTTCACAATATATAACAAAGTGAACAAAGCAGTATACATAAATAAATATGTTATTTCATTTATACAGGAAAAAAACAATTCATGAGTGAATTTATATGTATAAGAATAAAAAATTCTGACAGAATAGAAACCAAAATGTTACCAGGAATAATTCACAAGTGATAAAAATTATAGGTAGCTTTTATTCTTTTTGGCATGTCTACATTTTCTGATTTTTCTACAGTAAGCATGGAGTAGTTATGTACATAAATTACCTTAAATAAGAAATGCACACCTGAAAATATGACTTATGTAAAAGTTTAATTGTTGCTGATGGTAAGATGTAAAGACCATATTTCTAGTTTCTAGTTTTCTAGATTCTATGTATTTTACGTACCACCGACTTAGGGAGAGTAGGAGTTTTGTGTATTTAGTGGGCAGGAAAAACTCTAAATGGACAACTTGTCAAAATAACTATTATCTAAACAATTTGTTAAAACTCATAGCTTAAAATCTTGTCTTTTAAAATGATGGTTGTGTGTATTTTTTTTTTCAGGTAAAACCAAAACTAAAGGCTCCCTCCTAACATCCAAGAGATTTTTGTCTTGCAGATAATAGTTATGATTATGTCCCCCTGCTTGAAGACAGTGAAGCAAGGAAGAATAATTTGACTCTTGATCAGCCACATGATAAAGTGAAATCAGGAATACCAAGAGAAAAACAATCAAAGGTAGACATTGCTTCTGCAAAAAGCAACATTCAAATGCTGATGCATAACACATTCTCCTCCTTTTATTTTCCTGAAGTGATCCCCCACTGGAATTCCAAACATATATACAAACATATGACTTTTATGTTCCTAAATAGAAGAACTATTTCCAAGTAAAATTAAAGCTTAGGTTTTGTATTTTCTAGTGACCTTTTATCTGTATCACAAGCATTTAACAAAGAAAGAAAAGGTTAAAACTAAGGTAGAAAGTAAGGCACAGATTAGAAAATAGCTTTCTAGTGTTTTCCTCAATTGCCTGTGCTTAGTTTAAAAAAATCCACCTAACTAGCTTAAGCAAAAGTCTTCATTTTGAAGCAATATAGGAAGAAATAATCACATATCTGCTAGGAGACATATATGAGGACATTCGTGCTACTTTGGTTAGAAACAACCTAAATATCCATCAACAGCAGAATAGTACCTCTGTAGAAAAATTAAACTAAATATGTGTTAATATGGCTAAATTTCAAAATATTGGGTGTAAAATGGAAATTATGAAATGATAAATGGGAATAATTTATGTAACTATGAAAACATAACAACATTAATGTTTGTGAAAACACAAATATGCAGTAAAAGTGTAAAAACATAGGCAGGAAGAGTATATATCTTTAGAAAAATTATCATCTCTAGAATTGGGGAAAGAGGAGACTGTATGATATCCGGAAATGGAATAATGGGGGCTTCAGTTGTCTCTGCAACTTTTTTTTTTTTTTTGAGACAGAGTCTCGCTTGGTTGCCCAGGCTAGAGTGAGTGCCATGTTGTCAGCCTAGCTCACAGCAACCTCAAACTCCTGGGCTCAAGCAATCCTGCTGCCTCAGCCTCCCAAGTAGCTGGGACTACAGGCATGCGCCACCATGCCCGGCTAATTTTTTCTCTATATGTTAGTTGGCCAATTAATTTCTTTCTATTTATAGTAGAGACGGGGTCTTGTTCTTGCTCAGGCTGGTTTGGAACTCCTGACCTCGAGCTATCCGCCTGTCTCGGCCTCCCAGAGTGCTAGCTAGGATTACAGGCGTGAGCCACCGCACCCGGCCTCTGCAACTTTTTTTTAAATAAAAGAGATCTAAAGCAAATATGGCAAAATGTTAAATTAGGGTGGAAGATAGATGTATATTATATCGTTCTCCATGTTGTCCTGAATCATTGAAATTTTATAAATTTTAAAAGGAAGTTTTTTAATGAGATGAGTTGGGTTTTAGTGGGATGATATATCTTTTTAATAAAATTATTAATAAGAACTCCTAACAAATAAGGTTTCTTAATATTAACCAGACTAATTAAGTCAAGAGTACTGTATTTCTTTCTTCCTAAATAAGGTAGGAGATTTTAGCTTTGTTTGTCAGGGTTATTTGGTGAATGATTCTATAACTAAAACTATCTTGTTGTTATTTTACATCAAATCTGAAAAATCCAATTTTGAAAGCTTTTTCTATTTAAAAAAATTTAGAATGAGAAGTTCTCTACAGTATCTCTCAGTTCATATATTTTTTTTTTTTTTTTTTTTTGAGACAGAGTCTTGCTTTGTTGCCCAGACTTGAGTGAGTGCCGTGGTGTCAGCCTAGCTCACAGCAACCTCAAACTCCTGGGCTTAAGCGATCCTCCTGCCTCAGTCTCCCGAGTAGCTGGGACTACAGGCATGCACAACCATGCCCTGCTAATTTTTTCTCTATATGTTAGTTGGCCAATTAATTTCTTTCTATATATGGTAGAGACGGGGTCTCACTCTTGCTTAGGCTGCTTTCAAACTCCTGACCTCGAGCAATCCGCCTGCCTCAGCCTCCCAGAGCTTGGATTAACAAGCGTGAGCCACCGCGCCGGCCTCCAGTTCATATATTTTATTTGAAACCATTATTTATTGAGTTCAAACATTCACTTTTCTTCACCCCCATTTCAATTTCCATTTATCTAAAATGCTAGTAAGTAACACAAGAAACCATGGCATTGGGAATATGTTAGGTTATTTTCAAAAGAGGAAGTTGAGAAACAACGATTCTGACTTTGGAATAAATTTTATTATTAGGCTAGTATAGTACATTATAAATCACTCGAACTACTGTAAAATGGCATAAATTTAGTGCTTAAGTAAACAGTATTTACAGTCCATTTTCCTATTTTAACAACTTCCAGATTCATTGTTACCATTCATTTTTAATAACCAAAATTCTCATATTTTCTTTATAAAATAGACTATCTCTAGTTTAAAATATATAGAAGTAATTTTGAAAATAAAACCTTGGTTAGCACATGTACTTACCAGCAAATTGGTATTAACTGATCAACACCTAAGTGGACATATAGGATAACATTTATCAGGCGTTGGGCAGATGGGAGAGGGGAGGAGGGGATGGGTATATACATCATAATGAGTGCAATGAGCACCATCTCGGGATGGACAGCCTTGAAGCTCTGACTCGGGGGAGAGGCGGGGAAGAAACACAGTAACCTAAACATTTGTACCACCCATAATATGCTGAAATAAATTTTAAAAAAATGAAAAACCTTGGTTAGAACAAAAGGGATGATGTGAAAAGCTCTAGGTGTATTAAAATTTAGCTATTTTAAATTTGGGTGATTTGTTGCTTATGAAAGTTTTAGAGTTTATTTTTTAGTCAATGAGTATTCAAAGGGAGACCTTAAGCAGAAATCTTTTTAAAATTATATTTGTTTTATTTTATTTATTTATTTTTTGAGACAGAGTCTCACTTTGTTGCTCATACTAGAGTGAGTGCCGGGTGTCAGCCTAGCTCACAGCAACCTCAAACTCTGGCTCAAGCAATCCTGCTCCTCAGCCTCCCAAGTAGCTGGGACTACAGGCATGTGCACCATGCCCGGCTAATTTTTTCTATATATATTAGTTGCCAATTAATTTCTTTCTATTAATAGTAGAGACGGGGTCTTGCTCTTGCTCAGGCTGGTTTGGAACTCCTGACCTTGAGCATTCCGCCCGCCCCGGCCTCCCAGAGTGCTAGGATTACAGGCGTGAGCCACCATACCCGGCCTTAAAATCGTATTTGTTTTAATGTTATAAGATAAGCATTTTATATATAAAACATATATCTGGATATCTGGGCTGAAATTAAGTTTAAGTAACATGTCAGACATAGCTTATTTCCAATTAATAATGTTGCATCAATTGTAACTGTATTTGTGGACAGATAATAACGGGAAAAGCTTCAAGTGAGGAAATAAAGCTCCAAGTAAGGAGTAAACCTAAATTCAATGAGGTCTCTTAACTGTCTTTACTAGTAGGAGAAAGGTTATGTGATAGCCACATTTTTATACTTTGAATAGCTCATCAGTTCAATCTTCTTATAACCATTTAATAAATGTCAAAATTAACATTTTGTAATGTGTAAAAATTAAATGTCATGTATTTCAGCTCTTTTCTTCCTTTATATATCTCTAGCCAAAGTACTAATGAGCACTAAATATATAAAGGATGAAAGAGAAAAGGACATATATTCTAAAAGAACAGATAAATTAGATTTATTGAATATTTGAGAGCTGGCTATATGTTCAGTGTAAAAATTTAGGCCTAATTTAGAAAAAAAAAAGGTGGTCAATCAAGCAATTGAAATCGAAATCTTTTCCATTGGTATATGTGTTGACCTATACTTAGTATGTTATAATTAAATTCACTTTTAGCTACTACAGGTAAAATCCTTTCCTAAAGAACTTTGAATAGTTTGGTTATATTAAGTTTTTTCCAAAACGAAAAATAATTTGTATTGGTTGGTTGCAATTTTGTAAAAGTATGCATTTACATGGATAAGAACTAGAAGGCATTATACAGAAATGGTTAAGGTATGATTTTTTTTCTTTTTTCAGTATACTTTAATATTATTGGTCTTCTGAAAAACTACTCTATTTCTAGAAACCATATTCCCAGTCAATTGGCCTAGCTTCTGTAATGAATTAATAAGCTAATAGTAATGCTTTAAACCAGTAACAGAAGGAAACTACTACTAACCACCCACAGTCCTTTCCTCCTTCTGTTTGGTGGGTGGTTTGAGGATTTGTTTTCTTTAGACTATTTGTTTTGTTTAGGATTTTGTTTTGTTAGGATATTTGAAAGGGGAAAGACTTGTGGACATTTTGGCAAATGGCAACTGTAGCTGCCTTGGAAAATGAAATGTAAAGTAGAACATGTGAAGGAGCAAGAGCCCCTTGTAGAAAATTTTACTTAAGAAACATGAAATTTATAGTTCAGTCTTATTCATGTTATTCCTACACAAAAAGCATGCAAGAGTTTTTTGACTTCTAGAAAAGATAAAAAGCAGTCAAGACAAAACAGCCTGTATCATTAGATGAGCCTTAGTATTCTGCTTATAATTTGGATACATTAGAGAAGAAAGTACTCAGTTTAATGGAAAACCTGAGTTTTACCCTTGTATACCACGGGAGTTAGCACAATCTTTTGCATTATCTATCATGTAACAAATTACTCCAAACTTACTCCAAAATTTAATGACTTAAAACAACAAATATTTATCTCAGTTTCTGTGAGTCAGAAATTCAGGAGTGACTTAGCTGGGTGGTCCTGACTCAGGATTTCTCTTGCTGTTGAAGTCAGGATGTGGGCTAGGACGGCAGTCATCTGAAGGCTTGACTGTGGTTGAAACATCCACTTCCAAGATGGTGCACTTACATGACTATTGGCAGGTGGCCTTTCCAGGTGGGCCTCTCCTCAAAATCTGGCAGCTAACTTCCCTCAAAGTAAGTGATCCAAGAGAGAGAGAAAGGTGCTTTCTACGACCTGATCTCAAGTCACATACCTTCACTTCTACTTTATTTTGCTCATTAGAAGTGAGCCACTAAGTGCTCCAGGAGTAAGGAATTAAGCTGCACCTCTTGAAGAGATGAGTATCATATTTTATAGATATATTTTATTTTTTTTTTATTTATTTTTTTCTTAACTCAGAGGGTCAAATGGAAAATAGATATATTTTAAAAGCAG